TTTCTTCTGTGGTTAAACAAAACATTTTTACCACAAGATGAAAATGATGTTTAGACTGAACTGACTAGCTACATAAAAAGCAAACTTGGCAGATTCACATTTTGCCTTGCCAGCTTATAATTTAAAATCAAAACCCTGTTTTGTTTTTTTAAGTAGCAGTAGTTTGACCTTTATCAGCAGTTTAAATCTAATGTACTGTAGCCAGCACAAAAATAATAATGAGAAAAAAATGCCCCCTTAATGAAACCATCACCAGCACAGCTGCACTGTGTGTGTGCTGGTGTCCTACCCATGAGGGTGATGAGTTTGTTCTTGAGCTGGTTGTCCAGACGAGCGATCATCATTTCCACAGCGTTTCGGATCTCTCTGACCCTCTCATCCTTTGCTCCTCTGACAGCCTCTACGTTCCTCTCCTGACCCAGTGAAAACACACACCATTAACAAGATTCAACTTCAGTCTCAACTGAATTATTAGCATGTTAGCGCCATCTAGTGGATTTCAGCAACACAACGTATGGGTCCTGCCTTCAGTTTGAATAATTTGTAAAAAAAAAAAAAAAAAAATACTTTTTATCATTGATAAATCAAGACTTTTTAAAAAACATATTCAGTGAGAATATATTTCATAGTCTGATCCAATGTGAGTTCCCCTCTAAACTGGCTCATCACCTGTGTTACATGTTCTATAGATATTATTTACTCCACCTAAATAATGCTAATTTCAGATATTTTTGGTTCATTACATTGGTGATTTTCAAAAGCAAGGAAAGAAACACATTTGTTACTCTATATTTAACCCTGTGCTGTTGCTTTGTCACTGTGCCTGCTTTAAATTCACACTCGAGCAGATAAAGTTACAAAGGTGCTCCAAAAACTCTGATCCTGTAAAACTCCATGCTCTGTGACTGAGCATTTACATTTTACTGAAACATGTAAAACTGCATATTTACTCCTACTTTTTGCACTAAACAAATTCAGTAGAAATCTGACTGATAGATTATGAGATACCGGGCCCTTATGCAAGAACCACTCACTGACCAGATTTGTTATTAAGTGGCACATTAGACAACTTGTCACATTCTGCAGTTTTCTCACACTTACATTTTCTCAGAGGGATAAACAAATTTCAAGAGTAGCTCAGACCTGTCATACAAGTGTGAAAAAAAAGTTTACAATGCCTTAACTGGATTGGATTTGGAATACGATGCAGGAATCAACTAAAATAAAAATAAAAAAACAATGCAAAAAAATCTAAGTCATGGGCATCATCAAGTACAATAAATAAGTTTGTGAAGTTTGGAAAGTTTGGCGAATTGGACTTGGAACACTCATACAAAAGAATCCCTCAGATAAAAGTACAAGAGTTTTAGGATAAGAATGTTAAAATGTTTTTGCATGAGTCCCAGGGTGTGCACAGGTGAGAATTCTGCCAGAGGGTGGCATTACAATTACAGGTAAGTCCAGAGAGAGTTCACAATAAAAAGGTTTAATGCTCTGACGAGTCCTCACCACTTCCTGCACCAAACTGATAAGCTCCATGAGGCGGCGGCGGAGCTTGGCAACCTCCTCCTTCACCTTGGTTACATGCTGCTCATAAATTTCCACCAGAGGCTTGAAGGTGTGACCACCATGCTGGACACAACAAAGACACCAATTATGCTCTGCTTCCAGTTCCAATATGAAGATGTGCTACGTCTCTACTGTAAATTGAATATTTTGGGCTTCTGGATTGCTGTATGTATTTTCTGACCTTTTACAGATTAAAAACATTAAAAGATACATTGAAAAAATATTCATCATCTTAATTAGTAATCATTAGTTGCAGCCCAAATCTTTCCCTTTTTGTTAATTGTGATTAATATAGGTGTTTGTAATTTGCATGCAAATCACAGTCTAAGAGTAAAAGATGTGAAATGTTACCATGCCTCCCCACAGAGCACACTGGTGACAGATGCATTTCTTACAGGTCCAACAGAAAACACTCAGCTTCTCATGGTGGTTCTCACATCTGCAGAGGAATAATCCAACAACAGGACAGGAGTACATCAGACAGAACTGGTCTGTTCTATTTCAGTGTGTCTACAAAGTTGATGAAATTTCAAAATGCCAGAGACAAGGGTGACAACAGTGAGAAAGAGGAAAAAGAAAAACAAACGGAGTGTGCTAAGGGCACAACAAGCAGTATAACCACCAGAATCAAATAAAAGAAGTGAACACTGGGATCCCAAACCTCATTAATGCTACTATAAAACCGTCAAAGATATATTCACACCTAAAAAAAGCTATTATTACAGTAATATAACTAGATCAGCTTTTCAGCTACAGGTTTCAGCTGGTAGCTAACAGGACATCCGTTTCCATGGCGGCCCATTTTCACCTGCTTTCAGGTTCTCTCTCTTGCTTTTACACCTCCCCAACAAACCTCACACCAAAGACAGAATAGCTATAAATATTCAGTAGGTCATACAGGACAATGACTGTATGTCAGACGTTCCTATAAATTTGCACAAAGAAGTGGGTCCATAAACAATGCAGTGGGTGCAAACACCACAATTTTTGTAATTTTCCTAATTTCCTCTACAAACATCACTGAACATCTTCTATGTATGAGTTTTGTCTCATTCATGTTACTCTAAAACTTTGCATCTAATTCCATTTGTCGATTTCAATGCAACACTGGATGATAAAAGCAGTGGGTGTAACAGATTAAAAGCTGAGCTGTGATGACATTTTAAGGAGATCAGACAACTTCCACTGTATTTATCCACCTCAAAGAAAGTTAATTTTTAAAAGGAGCTGCTGTGCTACTAGCACATAGACATTGATTTATGGAGGAAAATCCCCAAAAGAGGGTGCTGTATTACTAGAATGGAATGATTTTAAAATCATGTGAAATCAAGACAGGGAAGTAAGACTATGTTCACATTGCAGGTCTTTTTGCCGAAATCCGATTTTTTTTTTTTGCGCTGTTGTTCACACTGTCATTTAAATGCGACTGCCATCCGTCTCATGTGTGAACAGTATACGGCCCTGAGGTGACCCGCATGCGCAGAAGAAGACGTGACGTCAGACGCAGCGTACTGTGTTTGCAAAAATAAAAATGGATGCGGCTCGTGATAGCATGTGTGTAGCGATGTACCGGTTAATGTGCAATCGAAATAAAGAAATAATAATGAGAAGAACATCAAGAAGGAGGAGAGCACAAATACTGCTTATGGCCTTGCCTCCTCCAGCGCAGAATTGTGACATCTGTCGCATTTCAATGACATAAAAATCGCATGAAATGCGACATGGCCATTCAGACTGAAGTCGCATTGCAAAACATCGGATATGTATCTGATTTAGGACCACATATGAAAGTGGCCTGGGCCGGATTTGAAAAAAATCGGATTTGTGCTGTTCACACTGTCATAAGGAAATCGGATATGAGTCACATTTGGGCAAAAAGATCGGATTTGAGTCACTTCAGCCTGCAGTGTGAACGAGGCCTAAGAGGTGCTCACTTGTCCTTGTCGTTGTCCTCATGTTTGGTGAGACTGCAGAGCTGCAGGGTGTCCAGCTGCTGGGTGACTTCCTCTGCCCAGCGACAGTTGACCAGCTCCCTCAGTTGGAGTGGAGCCCTGTGTGTAGAAAAACACACCCCTTACAATATAACAAATATTAAGCAACACACACTTTGACCATAATACTAATAAAAGTTTTCTAAACATCATTTGCAGGATTTGTAAGACGGCAAGAGAAGTCACAGGTGGACCGAGTGGTGTGAACTGTATCAAAAGCTACAACCCCTTTAATTTAAGGCAATTCAGGATTCCTCTCATGTAGCTAACCATCTGTTAAACTCTTCTTTGTAAAAAGGCTGAGCACCACTTGTTCAGGGGCCTCCTTTATACTGGTGTCATTATTCCTGACTACAAACAGTGTATCCTAAGACCTAATCTTTTTTATTTTTGACACTGTTTATGTTTTTATTACATTTAATGCCTTCACTGTGGTCATGTTATGTCCTGAGGTCTAGTCGTGTTTAGGGTTGCAACAGTATGCAGCGGACAAATGGCAGAAAGAAGGAAGCTGATAGCCCATCACCATACTCCATCCACTGAAAAAGAAATTAAAATCAGCAGCACAGGATTACTTACCAAAAACAAACACCTTTGAGAACCTCTTTGCCGATCAAAGTATGTGTTGCGTTTAAAACTTTAATCCCAAACAATAAAGCATGTGAGCGTATAAATGTCGGTCATAAAATGTGCTATCAAAATTATTTTCCACATCGTCTGTTCGCTCGCTGATCTCTGATTTATAAAAGAGCTCGCACTGATCCCGATCTGACCCCAGAAACACAAACTTTGTCGGCTGATATGAGTGAGAGAGTGTGTGTGTGTGTGTGTGAGAGAAGGTACAAACAGAACCAGTTGGCTGCGCTGTCACACACATACAGTAAATTAGCAACTTTAACACTTTCAACACAAGACTTTTACTTGGAACAGAATAAGCTACTTTTACAGTGTGATAGTAGTACTTTTACTTAAGGATGTGAATACTTCCTCTGCTACTGGTACTAACATGCAAACTAACATGCTTTTGTAATACAACACCTTACATTTATATGCTTTTTAAAAAAACTTTTTTAAGTCATGTTTATAGTATTATTTTTTTATCTAGTGCCAATCTAGTGCTGCAATCCGGCTCAATCATCAGTCAGTCACAATAAAAAAAAGACCCTTTTGTTTTCATTCCATTAAGGATTGTTTTAGTTGATAATATTAGTAATTGTGTAATACCATGAAACCCTGATATTTTCTGAGACGGTTATCATGCCATGAAAATCTCATACCACTGTAACTTTAGTTGTGTTTAATATGAACTTAAAGTACATTCATATCAACAACTAATGAAATATGCAGCTGAATGTTATGTGACATGATGTTGGTTATGCTGTTTACATTATCATATTCAGTTCATTTCAAAGTCATTCCGTTCAAACAGACAATATGGAGAGTAGCGTGTGTGTGTGTGTGTGTGTGTGTGTGTGTGTGTGTGTTAGCGGCAGCTCACCGACAGTGAGGACACTGGGCTCTCTGCTCCGTCAGCCATCGCTGTCAAACAAGATATTTCAAATGAATAATAACCACATCCAAACACAATCAATGCTCACATGCTGCCATTTTTGAATACACAATTCTATTCCTGATGCAGGTGAGAATACTCCTATTATAACTGAATCCCATGAAAGCAAACAATGAATTGATTCCAACAGCTATATGTGTAGGAAAAGACAGACATCTTATTAGACTTTGCGAGAGAGCTTAATTGTTGTGCAGAAGTTATTAAAAGCACAAGTCTTAAAGACGCATTGGGTGAAATGTTCCTTCAGTATGATGAGCACAGCAACTGTAGTTTGTGTCGAGTTGACCCCACATACACCACCCTGCTGCTGTAAATACTTGTTAGAGCACCAGATGTGTGTGTAACCAAAACTAGTCACTAATAAATGCATTATTTATTCTGCTTGAGTAACACTTAACAGATATGGGCAGTGAGGTTCTAGGGATGATACTGCTGCACTGCATTGTGGGAAATGTGAGATGCAGTATTTTCAGAGCTTGAAGAAGCCAGGATATCTCAGCCTTTTCTATTTCACTTCATTTTTTTTAAATTTTGTATGACAGTGCTATTCTAAATCTCTGGTTGACAATGAAAAAGCCTTGCAAAGTTTCCATTGTGTATGAGTGTTTTTCACGGTCGTGTTTACTTGCAATACATGCACTTTTCCTTAAACCTCAAAAATTAAGTGTATTCTAGCCTGTTATAGCAGAAAGAACACCAATGCATAGTTAATTGATTTTGCTTTTAAATACCAACATGTACTACTACCATCAGCATACAGAGAACATTTTCTTCTGCATACTTACTCGTATGCAGCTGAAGCAGCAGAGTTTGGAGCAGTGTGGGCAGAGACGAGCATCTCTCAGTTTCTCCATGCAGATGAAGCAGCGAAACACCTCAGCAATGCTCTGCACAGAGACAGAAGTTGAGATGACAACTCACTACATCCCAGACACAGTGTCAGCAAAGTGAAACATCATACGTTTCACAAAGGCTGGCAGGTTTATTGCAAAGCTGTTTTAATGGGTTGTGGTGGACAGTTTTATTACTAAATGCTAAGTCTTGCAATCTCCATTTTATGATAATGCAATCTTGTGTGCACATGGCTCTTTCCCAACTCAAGCCATATCTAGATTACAGTCTGCCTTTGAAGATTCAAATTTTACAGCAAAACCTCAAAAAGTGCTTTCTGTTCTGAAAAATCTATAATTCTCTGTAGAGATCATACATCTTTTCTCTTGGCTACTGGCCTCAAGATCTGATCCACTGATCCATCAGACTAGATAACACAGTTATTAATGGTAAACATTCAGGGGTGAGCATTAAGGATGTCCAGAAGCATAGTAATACATACCTCGACACTTTGTTCATCCATTTCAGCCACTTTCAAGCTCTTGATCTCAAAGATAAATCTAAGAAATTGTAGTGCGTTCTAGAAGATAAGCAAAGTTAAAGACAGTACTTTTAATTGAATTTTAGGGGTAAGCATTCCAGTACTCCCACTTTCCTAACACAAAACAACACAAATGTGCTACTGTACTACTTACAGACTGCACTGAATATTTCATGTTACCGCTAACCAGAGTAACAAACTAGGGCTCAAAGAAGAAAAAACACTTTTACATTATATTACACTGTTTGGCTCCCTACCCTCTGGCCGGAGGTTCATAAGTGTGAAGTGTAGGACCTCCAGACGGAAAAACTCTTTCTTTCTCTCTGCCATGGTAAATGGTAAATGGACTGTATTTATATAGCGCATTTTTCTCACAGTGGGTTGCACCAGCCAAAGCGCTTTACAGGAGATGATACACCATTCACCCATTCACACACAACATTCACACACTGATGACGACAGGCTGCCACACAAGCCACCGGGAGCAATTTGGGGTTCAGTGTCTTGCTCAGGGACACTTAGGCATGCAGGGAGACCGGGAGTCGAGCCACCAACTTGCTGGTCGGGAGACGACTGCCCTACCTCGTGAGTCACAGCCACCCCCACCTCTGCCATCAGACTCTTAAACAGCTGAGGAGTTTGTTACCAGGAAATACGCCATGTACTGTCAACCTGTACTGTTTACATTCTCAGTTTGCACATGCATAATTGCACATTGACTGTTGACTGCTGCACATGCTGCTCCCATGCAGCATACATTCTCTTATTATATTCTTATATATTCCTAACTGTGCATATGACAAATAAACACTTTGACTAGACTTGATTACTGGTTAACCTGCTGATTACTTTCTCAATTAATTGTCAGAAAAAGTGAAAATGTGCATTACAATGCACAAAAGCCCAAAATGACATCTTCAAATGTGTTAACCATCATTTGAAAAAAAAACTTCAATTACACCAACTTTAGTGTAAAAATACTGCTTTGATATTAATGAATTTCTAATGTTAGTCTAATGATCAGTATTAGTCACAACGAGAAGAAAGAAATTTTAATACATTTTACTGATTAGACTTTACAAATTTTTTACCAAAGTTAACATCTTCATCACCGGACTTAACCATGGGACTTTAACTTGTAACAGAGCATTTTTACTGTGAAGCATTTGTACTTCTACTTCAGGACTTTAACAATTCTTTCACCAGTGAAGAATATCGATGATAGTAATGTGAAGTAGATATTATTTGTTGTAAAAGGGCTACAACATTTCTCTAGCGCACACTATGCTACACCAAAGCTACAAAATGACGTTTTCCTTGCCAAAAGGTGTCCTCGTCAAAGACGCTAGCTTGTTGTGAGTACCAGCCAACACTGAAGGCCCAGCATCAGCATACACACTGACAGCTAATGTTAACCTGACCGAGGGAGGTCGAGACAAGAGCTATCGCTGGTGGCATACCAAAAGCATAAATTAGAAGACACAACAGTGGTATCATACTACAAAAAACAAGCTAATCTATACAGAAATGTGAGGCTAGCTCGCTTCTGGCGTTAGCAAGGTGGCTCACTTACCTTGTCAGAGACGCGGCTTCGACTGTCACACCTGATAAACAACGACTGCAAAGGGCTACATTATATATCCAAGCACACAGTAGACGTGGTCTCCGCTGGTTTAGCTACATTCAAAAACCAAAATATATCTCGGTACAGATGTCCCCATGCAGGGATTACACTGTGCTATACAGGGGGACGAAAAATGATTGCTTTTGCCCTGAATTAGAGGTGTAACGGTAGCGGTTGCTCAGAAGCTGTTCGTCCCCTAGCAATCACCAATCAAATGGCTCAATTTCTTCTTCTATTTATTTTGTTATTACGGGGATGCCAGACAGCTTAAAAGGCACTATCGCCACCGTGCGGACTGTCTGCGAAATCACAGAGGGTCGGGGTAGGCTATCTGAAGCATGTCAACACCGCTGCTGGTACAGGCCTCTGGGCATGGAAGAATAACTGAATGGGCTCTATTTGAAGTGATTCTTTACATTTTTGGTTGTCGATCAAATGGCCACTTTAAAAAATATACCACAAAGAAATGTAAACAAAGAAAATATTGCAAAAAAATGTTAAGTGATTATAGAAAGATGGAAAACCATCACAATGAGACACAACCACAAAGCGATACAAAACAACTACAAAGAGAAATGAATTAATTAAAACAATTACAAAGAAATGAATAGGAACCATAAAGACGCATAACGCTTTGTTTTTCATTCAGAGTGGCTTATGTAGTGGGGGCGGGGTCATTTACATGTCTCTGCCCAGGGGTTCATTGTCTCCTGTTCTTCCCCTGCATCCAGGGTTAAAAATAAACAAATAATAACATTTTTCTATATGTTGTTGATGTAGGAAGATTGATTTTTGCACATTTGCACTTACTAATTAGGACAAACAAGCACCTACCAGGGTTTACTTCCTATCATTTGGGTCCACATAATTTGATTTAATTAATCATTTAGAAATTAGCAGTTTCTGGGTCCTTGATCCATCCTTCATCTTGTGCCTTAGGTCTTGCAGAAGGGATCTGGCTTGAAGATCTATATTGTTCTAGTTTATGTTGTTGACTCTTTAGTTTCTGTTGTGCTAATTTGTTGTAGAGTTGTGTTTAATGAAATTGTTTAAAGGTTTTATGTCTAAGCTAATTAACACACAAGGTGTAATATTTCAGCAGAAGAGGTGCAAGGCTGCAACCAACATTTATTTGCATTATCAGTACATCTGTCAATTACTTTCTTTAATAATTTGTTGCCTGTTCAGCTTATAACATGTCAGAATATAGTGAGCTCATCATTATTCTCTGAACCCCAAGTGCACATTTTCAAATCAATTAACACTGCCCTTCACTAACACACACTGAGCTATATATGGTTGCATGAATATTACAAGCATCAGCTTTAAATTAGCCAAAGACTCAGCCTTTCTAAATGGACACACACACATACACACACATGCTTTAAATTTGCAGTAAACCCATTGTTGTTTTATGCAAACAGTCTGAAGCTGGATTGGACACACAGAGACATATGCAAATAAACCAGGCAGTGCAGGGTGTAATGCAGAGGTGAACGTTTCTCCACTTAGGAAAATGCCAATGAGCAGCTGTGGATTTCCAAAACTTTTTACCCCAGCACTAGATTCCTTCTGAATTAACAGGGAGACAGACGGCAGCTGGAACGGCATATACTGTTTAACTGCGGTGAGTCACTCCTCTGTGAGGCTCCTCTGTGTCTTTTCATTTTATTTACTATTTAATTTGATACACCTGAGCTGAGTTTTAATTAGCATTCATGTGCCGTGTGAATATTCCACACAGAGATGATTGGCAGTATCTTATGGGAATATCTGCCTTGTTTATGTATATTACTTGGAATCACACAGCAGTGTGTAGAGTTTGTGTGGTGGTGTGAAGGAGAGGGCACATTAGAATAAACTCAAGATCATTTTCCTGGGTGGCCTGAGTGCTTCATTGTCCTAGTAATGTGACAATCCTGTAGGAAAATCAGCTATATTTATCATTACAGATATTAAGATGAGTGCAGACACGTTGGAGCAGTCAGAGGCTGCAGTTGAACAGGCAGGTAAGAATATTTCACCCACTTCACACACATGTAAACACTACTGAACAGACAAATTCAAGAAACATGACTGTTACTCTGTTGTGCTTATTCCGTCTCTGTGGGTGATGCTGGAGTTGCACAGAAATAGTGTCTTAATGCATTTATATTTGAAACCTGAAACTTTCTGTTTCTTGATTTGTTCCTTTAGAAAGTCGTATTTTATCAGCTTCAACATAAAAAAAGGAAACTTACTTGTGCAAAAGCATTTCAATGTGCAAAAGATTTCAAGATAAATCATAAAATTATATATTGTCTGGATTATGTGAGAAGGTGTTTGTTGGACTCTGAAGAATGCTAGTGAAATACTGTATCATTTTTAAACCTGACTTTTATTATATAAATATTACTGCACAATTTTACTGCACACTGATGTTTTGGTTCTAGGTTTTATTACTGCTAATCATCTTTCCTGCTGTAATTTTCACCGGGTTTTAAAAACATTTGTATTTAATTATAACTGCACAGCAGCTCCATTTGAATTCATCAGGCATAGCACACTTTAAACAGCGAATTATTGCTGATAGTGGTCGATGCCCAGAGTGATACAAACAAAAGCCAAACCTGCAGCATTTTGACTTGCTCCTGTTTCGTGGGGAGCTGTGTGTGTGTGTGTGGATATTGTGACAGTTGGTTGCTATACCAGGATGCACCTGAGGCTGTTTGCTGAGAAATGCTTGCTACCTGGGGGCTAAGGACAGCAAGCAGCCACAAAACAAAACCAGGAACCAGTGACAGAAAATGTGGAACTTTTATTTAGACAATGGCCTCGTGCGAGAGAAGTGAACAGCTCTTTTTCATGGAAGTGCTGAATGTCTGAGCTTTTGTCAATATATGGTCAATGGATGTTTTTTAACGCACCATCATTATTCGGGTCATTGTCTGTTTTCTAGAGGCTGTATTATTTGAAAGGGTTACTTAAATAATATAGGTGTCTATACCTGCAGATATTCTTGGTTTTACTTGAATGGGGGTTGACATATCTGTCAATGATATCTTCCACTCCAGTACAACTGAAGGTGAATGTAATATACACAGTAGTTAGTGGTGCTCACAACAATGAAAAATAACATTAAAATAGTTGCATCTTTCCAATAAATACCAATAACAGGAAAAAAAATTTTAATTGGTATTTTTCAGTGAGCACCATGAACTAAGATCCATTCACTTCCATTTTACTAGTGTGCAGGAAAAAAATCTCAAACACAAAATAAAAAACTGTTTCCTAGAAATTATGTAGGAAAATAGGCAAATGTTAATAATATTAACACATCCCGTCTCGTGCTTCAAGTCACTTTTGATTTTTTTAGATGTTTGAGGAGGACCACAGTCCTTCTCTAAATTAAACCAAGTCCTGTTGAACATCCGAACATAACCATAACACAGCTGAATCTTGTAGGGAATACAAACTCAGTGAATGTTTTACAGATAATGCTTTTTTTTTTGAGAAACAACATGATTCAGATGGTATAACATTTCTCTCAAAAGGTATTTGCTGTTGCAAATCAGTAGGATTTAAACATAATGACTGAGAGACAGGATTGCTTTTGGGGACTTCAGTCTGACACCAAGTAGTCACTTTAAAGGGTGTAAGTGCTGCTTCACATCACAGATTCAGATTTGTGACTTAGCTTTTATGCTGAACTTTCTGTGCTGCTTTGGGAGCTTGTGTTGCCTTGGGCTGGCTTGATGGATGGAATCTGAAAAACTGTACAATTAGACAGTATAATATTCAAATGCCATCTGCTACACTATCCCACATCTGAAAAATGTGAAAAAAATTAAGAAGTTTCATACAGCACAAGAATGGATGACAGGCATTATAACTTTCATTAAGGTACTGTAGGGTATGGTTCTTGTTACCATTGCTAACTCTGAGAGACGAGACAGTCCAAGTAACTTCAAAACAGTGCTGATTTATTCAAAGGATCACAGGTAAAATTAACATTACATGCTCAGGTATCTTGCACCTCCAAACTGCTCGCAGGCAGATGTAAGATGAAAGACCCCGAACCACAATAGGCCTATACATTATATCACTTCAGGCTAACCCCATTCTACAGAGAGAGACACCAAACCGTGACGTCTCCCGGTGCCAGCTTTGCAGCTGGCCAGAGCAGTAGTCAAAACATGAGGAAAATCAATGTGTGTGTGTCTGTTGGTTAAGTGGTGTGTAGCTGGTGTAGTGGTGTGTAACGTAATTAACATTCTCACGACCTCTAGTAACATGTCGTGACTTAAACATAAGAACATATTATGGCTAAGGCTACAGTTATACACATCATAATAATAATATTAAACACCCTGTCTGCTGACAGTCATCAACTCTTCTCTCTAGTTATCCTTGACCAGATGTACCCTGTAGAAACTCATGAGCATGACTAAGCATTTAACAGTCTAACTAGACATCCTATCTCCACTAAACATTTCTAATACATAAAGTATCTATCCAATATCTATCTGACTAAAAATACTTAACAATACTGCAGGATTTATTGCATGACAGCTGTATTAAATGCATAGGTGTGCTTTAATAAATGACAACTGAGTATATTTTCTCTGATGGTTTGTGGCATGGATTATTTGTATAGTATAATTATAGTATGAAATGTAAAAATCTTTTCCCATGTTTCATATTTTGGATAAATAGTGCATAGAGCTTCATCCCTGTGCTAATGTTAAGTAGGTTTTGAGCATGTGGAGTGCTTAGACTGGAAAAGAGACTAAATGAAGTTTACCCAAAAAAGTCATAACCCATGCATAACTTGCTGCAGCAGTGTTTCAGTTCAGGGTGGCTAAGGCTCAGAAACTGGAAGGTCGGCGGTTCGATTTCCGTTCTCCCTAGTCCACATGTCAAAATGTTCTTAGGCAAGACACTGAACCCCAAGTTGCTCCCAATGACCAGAGCAGGGTTGCCATCAGTCTGTGTGTGTGCGTGAGTTGGTGCTGCAGATGACTGCTTCGGTTCTGTACTGGGGACAAATTCCTTGTGTAACATATTTGGCCAATAAACGTAATTATCATGTACATTGTTGTCATATGATGCACAAAGGAAAAAGAGGAGCAGCTCACACATGGAACAACTCAAACACAGAGTCAGCTCAAGGCCAAGCTCAGAAGACAAGCAAAAACAAGTATTAATGTTGGTCTGAAAAAGACCAAAACCAACAATGATTTGATCCTACTCAGTGCTGGCTGTATAGCCAGAGCCTGATAGCTTGTTCCTCTGCACCATAGAGCTCTGTTATTGTGTAAAACCTATTAAAAATACATTAAATAGCACCAACAATACACTGCGTGACATATTTTTTCATTGTCATGAATGCACATGCTGTAGGTAACTTGGACCCAGTCTCAACATACACAAACCTACTGCTCAAAATACTCACTAGAGCACCAGACATGTATTAATCCTCTGGTGGAAATAGTCCCCAATAAATGCAATATTTACTTCTGCTGGAGTAACATTTGCTAAAAAAAATACAAAAACTAAACACAAATGTTCAACTGTTTTAGGAAATTACAAAACCTTTATTTTCTTTTAATATACCTATTGAAAGCTTTTTTCGGCTCTTTTAACCAGGAACTCACAGAGACGAAGCGGACTACTTGGATATATAAAAAAAAACTGTGCTGGTTTATTCAAAGAATCACAGGTAAAATTAACATTACACGTCCAGGTATCTTCCACCTCCAATACTGCGCGCAGGCAGATGAAGAATGAAAAGCCCCTGAACCACAATAGCCTATACATTTTATCACTTCGGTTGGGCTAGCCCCATACTACACAGGGACGTCAAACCGTGGCGTCACCTGATATGCCAGCTTTACAGCTGACCATAGCAGTAGTCAAAACATGGAGAGAATCAATGTGTGTGAGTGTTGATTAAGTGGTGTGTATCTAAGAACATTCTGACATGACATCTAGTGACATGTCATGACATTAAACATAAGAAAATATTATGATTACAATTACGGTTAAACATATCATAATAATAACAACAATCATCCTGCCTGCTGACAATCAAACTTTTTCTATCTAGTTATCCTTGACCATGTGCATCCTGCAAAACTCATGAGAATGACTAAGCATTTAAACTAGACATCCTGTCTCCACTAAACATTTCTAATACAACAAGTATCTAACCAATTTCTATCTGACTAAAAAAATACCTAACACTATATACAGTATATTAGGAACTAACGGGCTTGGTGCTGAGTGCCACAGATAGAACAGGGAAGTTAGAATGTATTAAGAGACAAACTAACACATTGTTGGTTTTGGTCTTTTTCACGGAATTTGTGGACTGTAATGCAAATATAACTCCAACCTTATGTTTTAAATACAAGTGGCATCACAGTTTTTTACAGCCACTGGTGAGCATACTGCAGTATGTGCAAAATGAGTACTTACAAAACACTATTAGTATGTTGTGTGGAGTTGGGAAACTGATTGTGTGATTAATATGCACAAAAGTCATATTCACCCCGAAGACTAACTGAAGTCAAACAGATCAGTGTGCCAAGAAATTATCTCTGCACTTGTTGTCAGAACATTTTCTAATTCCCTTGCATTTTTTTCCTTTTGCCAACATGTGGAGTAAAAGCAGAATGGCAATTTTTTTCCATACTGCAGCTGTTTTTCTGTGTGCGTGCTTGTATGATACCATCAACTCTAGTGTGTATGTGCAGATAGAGCTTTAATACAGGCTTCCTGCGCTCAGAGCTGATTTGCATTTCTTTGTCATTTCCATACTGGAAGTTTGGCTGTGAAGCTGGTTGTACTGGTGGGGGGTGGCAGTAGCATTGTGGGGTGAGGTGGGGGTGGTGGAGTGTGTATGCATGCGTAGAAGGGGTTATGGGTGCATTTGCATTGTGTTTCCAACAGCTCACAGCTCACTGCCTCTCTCTCACACACACAATCCCAAAAGCCCGATTTGACATTCAAATGACTTGACGATCACTGTCACACACCTTTGAGCTCTTCTCCTCTATCAGCTCTCGCTCTGTCCTCTCTACATACACTCAGTACTGACTGCTGCATATTCCAAGACAGAAACTGCACTTCTCGAAAAGACCTGTCAGATATACGTTTTCGTATACACAGCTGAGTGTGTAAACAATTATCCAGATTCTTTGCCACATTGTAGATATACTCCAGTACAAGTAAAAGTCCTGTACTGAAAATAAGTAAAAGAACGTCAGTATAATCCAAATAATGTACTTAAAATAGTCAAAGCATCGTGTGCAGAAAATTGGCTCCAGTAAGTTTTGTAGTGACAAATATTATTAAAAAAAGCCAAAGTGACAGTTTTGTCCGAACTATAGTTAAACCTCAAATTGATTCTGTCTACAATAAGACACGGCAAAGCAGAAAAACATCATGTTTGAGAAGCTGTAATCCTGAAATATTTTTACATGAAATATTACTATGGTTAACAAAATTGTTTTAATATCGATCCATGAATCCATCAAATCAAATTAAAACAAAAAACATTATTTATCAGCTAATGTTTTTGATCAGTTTTACTTCATTTGAAACATATTTTCATTTAAATCCATACTTTGGAAAGTATGTCACTGCAGCTATAAAATAGATAGATAGATAGATCTTTGAGTTGTTCTGGGTGTCACAGAGCAGCATTTTAATCATCTCAATCTATTTCTCCCTTCTGACATTTAGAGCAAAATGGAATTGACTTCAATCGACAAGTGAGTACCAGAATTCATGTTAACTTGCTGCACTTCATGTTTTTAAAGTTCACGGATGAGGTCTGAGTCATCAGCGGGACTTGCATTCCTGTTAAATAACACACTCAGATACTGTGATGAGGGAAACATGGGTCAAGTTCACTTCTACACCACCACTGTCCTTCTAAGTACTGTACTGTGTACTGCCACGATGTGTGTGTTGATTTTTTTATGAAGCCATTGTTTCTTTTGAAACAACCAAAACTGCCAGGAAACATTGACTGGGAAAGACACTGTGTGATCAGCAGCCAATACTGTGATCTTGTTAATTCTACCTGAAGACAAAGCTTTAAAAACAGGTCATAAGTATATAATTTCATTAAAAACAGCTTCTTAAAACAGCTACTCACTGTAGTTTTTTTAAAAACCAGGAGTAAATAAATATTGCAGTTGTTGGGGACTATTTTCAGTAGCAGATTAATAAGTATTTAATGCTCTAGTGAGTATTTATAGCAGTGAGACTGAAAATAAAATGGCCATGTTCATTATAATGATGGAAGATGTCACTCAACACACTGATGTGGCTCATTAATGTGTTATTAATAATTTATGGGATTATATATATCAGGTTTTGGCACATAGGTTATACTTATTAGGATCAGTTCCTTGTTGGTTTTGCAGTATTTGACAATAAGAAAAGCAAAGGATATCAAAAGTCATTAGGTATCTTTTGACAGACTAATAACGAAACTGAGTTGAAATACAAATAGCCTAGAGCCATGTGGTATTGAAGCTTCTTTTACCTGGGACACAAGGTTCACATTACGTCTAGAAGGCTAACATCCTCAGGATAAACTACCAGCTCTCCCCACAGATGTCAATAATGACGGCTAAAAATATAGTTTGCAGTTATTTCGGATATGTCTCCAAACATTCATTTTGGCAGGGGCAACCATTTCTATTCATGCTCATGTGTTCAGGAAGTGCCATGGCTTTCAGGGGTTAGGAGGAAGAGGGGGAGTGAAAGAGAGGGAAATTTGCATATTCGCTTGCCCAAGGGGAGGGTTAGTCTAGTCTCATGTTTAGTGATCAAACTGGTCCTGGAGCCAGTGTATACGAGTCTCCGTGTGTGAACGTGTGCACGTGTACGCAGACACATATAAGCACACAGCAATTAACCCCTGGGACAGTGCTTCTCATTGTTGCAGCTTCACAACACTTTATACGTTCATCTTTTCATTTCATACCTGAGTTAAAGCTTGTGCTTTAGATAAAGACAGAGGATATCAACGACTTGCCTCATTCAGCTTCCACGCTGAAGACATGTCACCTGACACAGAGCTCTCCAGTGCCTGGAGGCCAGCTGACAGGGGTAAGATACACATTTTAAAATACTCGGCAACTCTGATTATTTTATATTTAAGCATGTTGTTGTAGAGTATGTAGCATTATTATCAGAGAGTGGGCTTCACAGAGCAACAGGGATGGAAGAACTATTCTGATTTACTTACGGTAGGTAAAAACAGAAATATGACAATGTAAAAGTACTCTGCCACAAGTACAATGTGTACATTTTAAATGTTATTTAAAATGGAATCCAAGTGATTTTACACATAAAGATCAGCGTATTCATAACGAGGCTTTTTAACGGGCAGGGAGGGTCTGACAAAGGAGCCTATGTTTTTGGAGTTTGACCAATTTGATCTGATTTAGGATATCTCAGCCTCTGCTGCATCGGTTTTTACCATTATTTTTAATTACCATTACTTCTCTCTTCCCAAAACCAATACAATTGCAGTACTAAATCACTGTTTCACAGTTTGAAAATCATCTTATTTTATAAGCTGATCATATGTTTTGAATGAAAAATATTTACCAGTAATGTACCTAGTAGTCTAACTATAGCTGTTAGATAACTGTAAAGGAGACAAAGTACCATATTCTCTTTTGAAAAGTAGTGTAGTAGAATTATAAAATTGAAATACTCATATAATGTAGTGTCTCAGAATCGTTGGTAAGTAACTGTGTAAATATACTTTCCACCACTACAGGGTGCTCATATAAAGTTTATTCACTCCAACCCTTAGTCCCCATGTACAGGTGAGTTAAGGCTTACTTTTTGTTTTGCTCCAGGATCTCACCTCTCTCCACACCATGCAGCAGTTGGTTTTGATGCCGCCGTCCCACCTGTCGTCGCCCTCCCTCTTCCAGCTCTCCCAGAACTCGACCAATCACCAAGGTGAAGTCTCAGACCACAGTGGCTTTAACCTCCAACCCTCACTGCTGGATCATAGCCAAGCATTCACTTATTCAGGTCTTCAAAACATTTCTGCTCGAGATTTCTGAAAATGTAATGCACATATTATGTAATCAAGAATTCTGGGAAAATGTACATAAAATAATAGTTTAATCATCTGGTATCTTTTCATTGATACAGTCATAAAAAGAACAACACATGACATTTTGGAAATAGTTATTTAGCCTCAGGTGACTTCAATGAAACATTTGAAAAAGCAGAAATGTAAAATATATTAATGAATCCTCCTGGTGTAAAAGGAGGGACTGAGGCAGTAAAGTACACCTCTAAAGCACACTGTGGTTTAATCTGTATAAAAATACAAAATTAAAAACTACTTTGCGTGAGTTATTTTTTTTGGGGGGGGGAAGATGCCAGAGTCTTGTAGTGACAAACAGATAATTGATCAAAACCTGCTGTTGTCCTTTGCACAGCTGAACCTGCTGTCCCTACCTAGCCAGAGTCAAACCAGTCTTCTTCAGCATCAGCCTGGACTGGCTTTGACTCCACAGGTAAATCCAGACTGCTTCCTGAAATCTGAATATCTGGCTAAACAAAAGTGGAATTTTGCAAATACTTTTTTGTTGTTGGTCATTGCCCGTTTTACCTCACCTGGAAAGGAATGGTTTTTACTGTGATGTTTTTCTGATCCAGGGTATGAGTCGCTCCAGTCTGGCAGGACCATCTATGGAGAACCACATGGACATGTCTCATCTGCAGATGCCTAAACATATGTCAGTAGCACCACAGGAAGAACCCAGTGATCTGGAGGAACTGGAGCTGTTTGCTAAAGCATTCAAACAAAGACGCATCAAACTAGGATTCACTCAGGTAATTAAACGAAAAAGCTCCACGTGATTAGACTTTTTGAGGTTTAAATGTTAGGTCATCAATATATTTGTGTTTTCCTTCAAATGTCTTATACGCTCAAGATAAGATCTGAAACCACAAAACCAAGTTTTCATGGGCTTTAAGGACACTTACTGTGTATATCCTCAGAAGTCCCTACACTTCTCAGACTGAAAGAGGCTCCAGTTGAAACCAGCCACTCTTTCTATGCAACTGTGGTTTATAAGTGAGATTTCAGATGTGCACACCACTGTTTTTATTCTAAATAAACTGTAGGTCACTATGTGTGTGTTGGTGTGTTCTACCACAGGGAGATGTGGGCCTCGCAATGGGAAAACTGTACGGCAATGATTTCAGCCAGACTACAATCTCTCGCTTCGAGGCTCTCAACCTCAGCTTCAAAAACATGTGCAAGCTCAAACCATTGCTGGAGAAATGGCTAAGTGACGCAGGTACAACACAGTGACTACCATTTTACTTTTCATTTTTATTACAGCACAGCATATGTGAAATTCAGTAAAGTTTCAGCTCTTTAAGGAGAATTTTAAGAAAAGCAATATTTTTGGATAAAAAAAAACCCGATAAAAAACTCAGACTGTAAAACGATAATACATGTGTGTGTGTGTGAATCCATAACAATCAATTCAACAACGAGTATCAGCTCACACTTGTAACCTCTGTTGATGATGTTGTTGAAGGAGCAGGTAATCAGAACTGAATTTAACATCTGCTTTGCAAATTTAATGAAGATAAATGTTACATTTCTTCCAAAATGACACATAAATGAATCTGACGGTGACTGCTACTGTGTATACCTTGTTCGCATTTGACCAAAAGTGGATTGAGTGAAAGCCCCTTTTCACTCAATTAAACTTGAAAAGTCGTTGAAAGGTTTTATGTAACTCTGACTTATCTGATTTAACAGCTTTTCAAAAGCGATAATGCATGTTGATGCCATATTTGTTTTTACATTAGAGAATGCACCTTCTGACTCAATGACCAACCCTCCCTCTTTACCACCCCTGATGGAGGGCTATGGGCGCAAACGAAAAAAGAGGACGAGCATTGAGACGAACATCAAGGTGACTCTGGAGAAACGCTTTCTTGATGTGAGTTCAAGACTGAATCAGTCATCAGTGAGTTTTAATAGTCAGGCTCCCTTTCTAAGTTCGATTTCTGAGCTTTTTCAGGTCAAACAAGCAGTTTATAACTGTAAACAAATGTTTATAGACATTAACAATGAATGGAACATGAAAGATGTGTTCTTCGTGTAAATCACTGAAACATAATTTGTTTAACATAACCGCACCTGAGGTTTTAGAGACATTAATAACTCTGTTAATTACATTATAGCCTAATAACTTTGTATAAATATTCTCATCTGGCCATCACTGACAAATAATAAGTCATTATATATTATAGTATCTTCTGAGGAAATGACATTTCCATCAGCCTCTGTTTAGTGCTACCCTGCAAATGCTGGCATCCTAAAACCTCCCAATCTAAAATTTAAAGTAATACTACAGCTACAGTAACAATTACCAGTACTATTTCACATTAAGTACCCCATTTAGAGTTATGAGCAGTTTACAGACATTTGGTGATTTACACTAAAATGTCATAGGCCTACATATAGTACAATGGTTGCCAGAGCATAGTGACACTCACTTATAAATTTGTTTTCAAGACATATGTACTTAACTGTTTGCACTTTTTTGAGCTGCCTTCATAAAGTTGTACTCATTAGTTAATATTATCATCATATAAAGTCCTGATTTTTCATATTTCATTCAATATTAAGTTATAAAATCTTACCAGTGTTGACAAGGAGGAAATCGTGAACATTTTGTCTTTGCTGATTGCTGTTGTTTTCAGAACCCTAAACCCAACTCTGAGGAGATATCCCTGATCTCAGAGCAGCTGTCCATGGAGAAGGAGGTGGTTCGAGTTTGGTTCTGCAATCGACGTCAGAAGGAGAAGAGGATCTACACCCCTAGTTTACCTGTCAAATCACACAGCTACAGCTCCAGAGTGGTTAGCTGGCTAAAAGATCTTTCACTTATAAACACTTTTTTTTTATTGTAGTCGGTGTGTTAGCAGATATATTACTATTCTATTCTCATGAGACACTTTATGGTTTCTCTTTAATTCATTGTCCATGTTTTTCCACAGTCTTTTGCAAGAGCCAGCATAAACAATGTCACATTAGTGATATACTATTTTATAAAATATGCTAATACAATGCTAAAAACCAACTGTGGCCTAAAGATAAACTTAACATCAGCAGAAAACCTCCAGTGGTTTATGTTCTCACCTTGATGCAGTGTAAGCAGGCTGTGGTCAGTATTCCATGACATCACATGTGGGTGTACTGACCGGTGCAATAGTTCAAACAGCTGTAATAGAATTGAAACTTAGCATAAAGACTGGCTCTCTCCAAAGTACACTAACATTTATAAGCAGCAATAAGAGAGACAAATGTGTTTGTTTGTAGTTTCAAACAGCAGGCTAGCCGTTTTACCTCGCATATAGTGCTTGTGATAAAAAAAGCTAATCACCAGTGTCAGGAAGTAGCAACATTGCAGGTAGTAAAGCTGCTGATTTACCTACATTTTCCAGCAGTGGTCAGGTAGTGTAGCTATATTCAAAATCATTTAAAATTTCCAGTAGTGCATTTCTATGTCCACTAAGTTGCAAAGTACATATTATGTTGCTATAGTTTATGGTAGAGCTTGTAGCATTACTACCTACATATTCAAAGTAGCTTCCCCAACACTGTTAACCATAATCCTGCCTCCAGCTTTATTCTTAACACAGAAACCTGAAGTTGATATGAATTTCCTCATCTCACTCTCAGAAAGAAAACATAATAATCCCATTTCCCAAAATCATCAAGCCACTATCAGACCTCAGAAATAAATATAAATCTTGTCCTTTAGTGTGTGAGAGCTTTTACAGCTGACATCATCTGACACACCTTGTACCTTGTAGATATTGTGATATATTGCTATACTGCTGAAATGTTAGTTACTGTATAAAGTAAACATATCTTAAAGTCCTGCTGTGATGCAAACTGTACCTCATCCACTGTCACACTGTTTCAGGTCTCAGCATCTAGACCCTACAGCCCTCTGGCTTCAGGCGGATGTAAGTTCTGTTTTCCCAAATTCAGTTATTGATAATGAGTCTTTTACTGTAGCCATACTTTATTGCGACTGTAGGGAATGATGCATGCATGTCAAATATTTTTAGTAAAGCATTTTACAACATTAGTTAGTGCAAAACCTTTTGATCTTGGAAACAAACTATCTAATATAGGGGTCATTTGCATATTAATCTAAAATACACAGAAAGGTAGGCTACATCTGGCTAGTGCTGTGCACAGTCCATGTACTGTATGTGTGGGTTTATGCATGGGCGAGCATATTCAATTCATATTCATATTGCGTTGACCTTCTCCTTTCAGTGTCATCAAACTCTTCTCCAAATAGCATGAGCCGTGAAGCTTCTCCTAACGGTCTGTCCACACCCTCTGCCTCTTTAGCGTCTCAGGTCAACCAAGCTTCCTACAGCACAGGGTAGGAAACACATGGCTAATTTCTCATGCTGTTAGTAGGTACCAGAATGTGGAGACTTTCAACTTGCAAGTTATTTCATTTAAAATGTGTTCCTTTTGAAAAAAAAATAGTTAAATAATGTTAAATTTGTTTATTTCTTAACCTTTAAAGGCTGGAAACAGCTAACAAGGATAAAGAATATGCTTACCAACATTTCTAAAGCTCGCTAATTAATGCTAGTCAGCACCTAGTTTTATCTTGTGTGTTTATTCTCTATAAAAAACAAATACACTTATTTCCCAAAATCTTGTACTACTTTTTATTTCCTTAAACAAAGTAAAGTTTTTTTTTAATCCTGTGATCCTCACATTGCCTTTCAGGACATGGTACCGCGGATGGACCCCTGCTGCATTTCATCACTGAAAAAACAAGAACTGTATCATACAATTTTTTTTTCTTTTGAGAAGGATGTGCAGTGAAGATGTGACAAAGTAACACAGCATCCCTGTTATGAACAGGGTTACAACTACAGGCTAAACCTTACATGGCCCCTTAAGACAAAACAGCAGTATAAGCAGAGGACTGCAACACACCACACTGCTCATACAAGTCCCAACAGCCTCGTGCTGTTTGATTTATGTTCGTGTGACTCTTTACACTGCTTCAAACAGCTGCAATGATGAAGAATACACAGAAACACACACAATGACAGACATCACAAACACTGGTGGAAATTCTCATGTTCAAGTCTATGTGCTTATGGCTTGAATTTATAACTGTCAAATACTGTATTTAAATATTGAAGGATTCAGGTGTACATTGACTGTGTGTTGAGCTATTTCTTATGCCATTTTTATACTGGGCTACAATGATCTCTGTTGTTGCTGTTAATATGTTTTTATGTTAATATTATCCTCTTAATGCGGTGTTAGTGAATTGCTAGCCTATCTAAATAAGTTTGCAGCCAAAAACAGGATTTGAGGGTGCAAAAAAGCCATATATTGACCAATACATCATCAGAACTGGAATTATTATGGATTATTAGAAGCTTATTATTATTACAGTTTATTGACCATCATTTCTATCAGTTACAGTAACATTGTACTGATTTTGACTTTGGTTGTTGCTGATTTGATTGCTGATGTCAAATAAATACTTTATAAATACTTTGAAACCAAGTTTCCAATCTCCAATGAATGCCTGAGTTTATTTGTTAAGATCTCAGTAAGCTTCTAACAAATTTGTTTAAACCATTTGACATGTCTACAGTCAAAAGTGTTTATAGCTGCTGTGAACAGTCAAAGGCAGGAAAAAGGGCCTGTCACCGCAGCCTCCTCCTGAATGCACACTCCTGCAGCCCAGATCTCTCTCCAAGAATGTCTGTGTAATTTGTGTGACTTCATAGTTTCCATGTGATGAACTGTACAAATGTCAGTAATGGCACACGTTATGGACTGTCCCTCTTCAAAAGCAATCATGGTGTTGCACTCATTTGTTTGCATAAAAAGTGTCAGAAATAGGTGTGTGAAGAATGAAAAAAAGCTTGATAGAGGTTTATGCCCCATTCAAACAAATAAAACTAAACAAAAAGCATCACTTTATTATTAATTTGGGATTTTCATGGGATTTGTTTACAATAACAAAACTTTACCCTGGATGTGAGCTTCTGTTGGAGCTGCTGGGACTATGGTTTTAATTGTCTCTTATTTCCTGCTGGTTGTCATTCTGTTTAATAGAGATGCTCATAAAACTACCTTTCAGACCTCAAGTCAAGATCTGTTGTTTGATTGGCTCCTTAGTGATCTTTGTTAAATTAATTTCTATTTTGAGTTTTCACTGTATGTGTTATTTTATTGTAGAAAAATGTTTTGCAGTGATACAAAACTCTTCCAATGTCAACCAGAGCAGCCACTATAATTATGATGTTATTTAATGTTATAAAATGTAACAGCAGGTACTTCTGAAAGTAAACACCAAATGAAGGTTTTTATGGGTGTAAATGAAGCTACCGTGGTAAACGTTGAAAGTGGAA